TTTTATACTTTAAAGTAGCTTCCTTTGTATGCCAACAGCAGATTGAATGCCTCTCTTACTAAGACTTATATAATAAGTGCATGTAGGAACTGCAGAAAATATTTTAAAAGTTTATTACTGAATTTAAAAATATTTTAGAAGTTTTGTAATGGTGGTGTTTTAATATTTTGCATAATTAAATATGTACATATTGATTAGAAGAAATATAACAATTTTTCCTCTAACCCCAAATGTTATTTGTAATCAAATGTGTAGTGATTACACTTGAATTGTGTATTTAGTGTGTATCTGATCCTCCAGTGTTACCCCGGAGATGGATTATGTCTCCATTGTATTTAAACCAAAATGAACTGATACTTGTTGGAATGTATGTTAACTAATTGCAATTCTATTAGAGCATATTACTGTAGTGCTGAGTGAGCAGGGGCATTGCCTGCAAAGAGAGGAGACCCTTGGGATTGTTTTGCACAGGTGTGTCTGGTGAGGAGTTGTCCAGTGTGTGTCTTTTCCTTCCTCCTCTCCTCTCTTCCCTTATTGTAGTGCCTTATATGATAATGTAGTGGTTAATAGAGTTTACAGTGAGCTTGCCTTAGGATGACCAGCAAGCCCCAGTGGACCCAAGCGGTTTACTGGGATATAACAGAACAGGTTTAGTAGCTGTGTTGTGTAAATGCATTGTTCTCAGTCTCCTTTCCGACAGTGGAAACTCAAAGCCACAGCTTTCCTCCTCTACTGCCGCCTCTGTCTGGTTCCACTTTGAATCTTCAGCTCAGTTCTCACAGAAGCACTCCCCAGTGTGGCTCTCACTGTGCCTTGCTGCCTGGCTTCTGCGAGACTTCAGGATGCAGTGCTACATACGCATATTTGAAAGTGTGTGCAGTCACTTACGGTGGGACCGTAAGTTCCTCTTCCTGTTTTCCACGTGACAGTCCTTTCTGTGCGGTATCCTTACTAAACTTTGTTTTGTTTTGTTTTTGTTTTTGTTTTTTTGTTTTTTTTTAAAGCATGTAACATGTGTTTATACCAAAGAGCCTGTTGTATTGCTTAATATGTCCCCATACTATGAGAAGGGTTTTATAGAACTACTGGTGACAAGAAGCTCACAGAAAGGTTTCTTAATCAGTGACGACAAAGCCTGTTGAATCACCAAGATTCCTGAGGTTTCTTTGTAACAACATGTTGTTCTTGGGGCCCTTCAAGCTGTGAAATTGTCCTAGTATTCAACTCCTCCATGGATTTGGGTCAAGTTGAAGGTACTAGGGATGGGGACATTCTTGCCCATGAAGGATTTGTGGGGAGAAGGTTAACCCTAAGCTACAGATGTGGTCCACCTGAATTGAAAATTATATTTGAGCGGTAATTCTAGGATTGGTTCTGTATAGAGATGGTGTCAGGGAGGTGCAGGATGGAGTGGGAGATTTCATGGAGCCTGGTCAAGTAAGCTCTGAACCAGGTGAAACACCCGAGGAGCTGTCAACGGACTTAAGAGTTTCTTCATCATGGGGAGTAAGGGTTTCCAGGGCAGGGCAGGCAGTCAATGCAGCCTGCCAGGAACACAGTGTTGTCTTTTCTTTAATCATTATATTAAGCTGTATGTTCAGCAGTCTTGGTTAAGATATAACCATGCATCCGTGTAGTTTGTCACTAGTGTTATACAGTTTAGTCAATCTGTGTGTGATCTTTGTGTCTCCTTTCCCCCAAGCATTCTGGTTTCTTCATATTTAAATACAGTTCTAGTTTCTCGTCAAACATTTTTTTTTTTTTTTTGTACCTTACCTTTTCTCTACAAGGGACAAGATTTATTGTTTTTGTAGGAATGAGATGCAGGGAAAAAAACCATCCCTGATCCTGCCCCGTAACCTCATCCAATGAGCAGTTATTGAAGGTGGGAGTCTCAAATTCATGGGAAAAGAGGATGCCCAGGAGCTCGCATGGTTACCTGAGACATGTGGCTAGCAGTGCGACTTTACAGACTTTGAGGTTGTCACTCTGCAAACTGGCATTTCAGATGTTCCTAGTTAACTCACCTGTGTCTGCTGAATGTGTATGTGCCAGATGTGGTTTTACATTCATTTCGTCCTGGAGCTTAACAATGACTGCTTGCCCTGATGGCATGGAGGGAAGCCCTATGTACCTAGTGAGTGGCTGACCTGGGTCAGCATTGCCTGACCTTGGGACAGCTGAAGGCTTTAAACCCTCTCTTAGAACTTGCATTTCCAGTTTCTCCCTTCCAGGTGAGAGAGGAAGTGGGAAGGGTTGCATAGGCACACCAGGACACCTAGTCACTCCAGAGTTCCAGTTCCAACTAGGAGATGATTACCCTTGTCATGTCCCACTGAAATGCCAACCCCAGGAATATGAACCCCCCATTTCAAACAATTCTGGCCATTCAGAGCCTGCTTTTGTGGTTGCTCATCCATCATCCTCCACTAGAGGGGCTTAGCCAGGCCACCACAGTAATGTGTGTTTTATTCTGCATTATTATGCAGAAATCTACTAGTTGAGATGGTTTGTTTTAGGATAGGAAATGAAATCGCCTCTCGGTGACAGGAATGGCCAAGCCTGCTTTGTATTTTGACTTCTTTTTTTTTTTAACTGATGGATGGTGCAGCATGTCTCCATGTTTCCATGGTTGTTTGTTGCTAAACTTTATATAATGTGTGGTTTCAATTCAGCTTGAAAAATAATCTCACTATATGTAGCAGTACATTATATGTACATTATATGTAATGTTAGTATTTCTGCTTTGAATCCTTGATATTGCAATGGAATTCCTACTTTATTAAATGTATTTGATATGCTAGTTACTGTGTGTGGTTTAAACTTTTTTTCTCCCTTTTCTGGTTGTGTGCTTCCTTTTAAAACAAGCTTCTAGAAACAAGTAGTTCTGAGAATTACTGATCTATGTTTGTAATGCAGGTGTACTTAGGGAGTATGTAAAGTAATCATTTTAACAAAAGAAATAGCTATTTAAAATTTAATACTAACTATGGGAAAAGGGTCCATTGTGTAATACATAGTTTATCTTTGGATTCGTTGTTGTCTTTGGTTTTACAAAGTAGCTTGTATTTTCAGTATTTTCTACATAATATGGTAAAAAGTAGAGCAATTGCAATGCATCAATAAAATGGGTAAATTTTCTGACTGTGGCTGTTTTTAATTCTGTTAGGGCATAAAGGGGACCAATAAATGGCCTCTTTGAAGTGATTAAACATTCTATTTAAACATGAGTAGAACACTGTTACATTAGAACATCTTTGTACACGTCTCCATAATGGAAATGAATACAGCTTTGTGGGAAATATTTCCCAAGAGTGAAGTGTCTCCAAGGGTGCTGTACTCCTTACTCTGGCCCCTTGAAAAGGCAGATGGCTTTTGAGATAAACCAATTAACTTCATTTCTTAACACCAAACATTCAAATCAGCACAGTGAAAATGAAACTTACAGAAAGATGTTTTCGTTTGTCTCCTTTGGCCCTGTTAGAGCTGTCACCTCTTTAGAGATGGCTCTGTGGTAAGGCACTTGCTGCTCTTATAGAGGGGCTGGGTTCCATTCCCGGCACCCAGTCAGACCTCTCACAAGTGATTTATAACTCGAGCAGCTGCAGGGTTCTGGCCTATGTGTTCTGGCATGTGTATGCATATCCACACAGAGACACATAACGAAATCTTTAAAAACAAGGAGAACCTCTGATCGAATTTCTCTTGATTCCAAAGTGAACAAAATTTTCTCCTGAAAAGAAACAGGAATCTGTCTAGATTAATTACTGCAAGTCCCTGCGTAAGTGCTGTTTATTTGACTTCTCTCAATATATGTTCCTGTCTAGCTCTCCTGTAGTTTTAGCTTTGTAGAAAGGAGAAACACTGGAGAGAAGAGAGGAGCTCAGTGCTCAGCAACCAGTCAGGCAGCTCACAATCCCTTGTAGCTCAGCTCTGGAAGGTCTGATGCCCTCTTCTGGTCTCCATGGGTACCTGTATCACATGCAGATAACCTGCATACAAACACATAAAAGTATAAAACAATAAAAAAAATCATAAAATTTTAAAGAAATGAGAGATATTTAGAAATACCCTTCTGAACCATAACCAAGAAAGATGATTAATAGTCTGTTCTCTCCTAGTGACAGGAAGGTCAGAATATATTTGCTTTGGTTTAGACTATATCTTACATATATTTTTTAGATTTCTCCCCTAAATCCATGAATGTAAGTTAGTATGTCCTTGCTGCACCCTCCTATGTTGGAAAGGGAATACCTGGAAAGTCATGTCAAGGAGCTCTCAGGTCCTAATTTAAGTCAGCTAGCTTATAAAACTACCTCCACTTCTCAACAACCTTTGGTTTTGTTGAGTTTTATATTCCTTTCCTTGGGCTAAATCAGATTTGGTACTCTATAGGGAACCCTGTATTTTAAATAAAAGCCTGCAAATTCAACCTATTTGACTTTTCCACATGAATTCCTGATTTCTTTGCCATTGAAGATGGCCCCAGATGCTCAGCACAAGGTGGCGCCAGTGAGCTATAGAAATTTGACTCCCCTTTGCCCCCAACCCCCATCCCCTCAAACCTCATCTCCTGTGTTTCTAGCTTCACTGAACAAGGCAGAAAATCCATTCTGTTATTGCTGGAGAAGGGATGGGTTAATGAAGGGTGTCACTTTCTTACTAAGTCAGCACTGGGAGCTCTCTCCTAAAACGAATGGAGTTTGCAGAGTTTTGGGGGTCTCAGCTTCCTGCATCTTGCTTCTTTTCCAGAAGGTCTCTGCCTTCAGATTGCCATCTCTTCCCCTTCCTGAGGAGCTCACAAGTCTAAGCTGCTGGTAGTTAAGGCTTCTGGCGACTGTACAAAGGGGCCATCTGTGTTTGATCAATCCAGGCGGGAAGGAGGGGGTGGGGGTTGTAAAGAGACTGAAAGCATTCCAGAGTAGTGAGAGACACAAGAGATGGGAAAGAGGAGGCACCGCCCCCTCCCCGCCCCCGAAGCTAACGGGCTGGAGGGAAAGAGGCCGGATGCACACTCCTACTCTGGCCCCACTTAAGGCTGCCATGGGGCCCAGTGCTCCTCTGTTCCTCTTCTTCTTTTTGTCATGGACTGGACCCCTTCAGGGACAGCAGCACCACCTTGTGGAGTACATGGAACGCCGACTAGCTGCCTTAGAGGTGAGGGACTTGTTTCTCTTCTCGCCCGGGGTGATTTCACATCTATCCGTGCAACTAGCTGTCAGGGCTTTGGGAGTGACAAGATCGGGCTGTGTAAGAAGTCCTAATGATAGACTCTTATTTCCCCAACATAAGACAATTGCCCAGCAAATAAATGCAACACGTTTCCCTTAGGATTAGATGGAGTAAGGGGACAGGAGAAATGGGAGTCATAATCGGGCTGCATTTAAGAACTATCTGGCTATACTGTTCAAGTTTCCCAGGCAATTTGCCTGCAACTTCCTGCCTGTTTCTTCCCCGCACCCCATGTCTGCTCCCTTTTGAACAGTTTGAAGTCTATAGCATCCCAATTTCCTGGAGGCTCAGATCACTGAGAACACAGGCTGAAGGATTCTTATTCAGGTAGATTAAGCTAGCTACTTTGGATGGGATGGTACCATTGACTAGTCAGTCTTCTTTGCTGTGAGAACATAGCTGAGCTGGTCCCTTGCCTCATCCCGACTCGGCAGTTGGGCCTCTGCTTGCCTAGGAGTTATAACCCTGCAGCCTGCCCTCCCTGATTCCCACATCCCTTCAGGAGCGGCTGGCCCAATGCCAGGATCAGAGTAGTCGGCATGCTGCAGAGCTTCGGGACTTCAAAAACAAGATGCTGCCTCTACTGGAGGTGGCAGAGAAGGAACGGGAAACACTCAGAACTGAGGCAGACACCATCTCAGGGAGAGTGGACCGTCTTGAACGGGAGGTAGACTATCTGGAGACGCAGAACCCAGCTTTACCCTGTGTAGAGCAGGATGAGAAGGTGACTGGAGGAGGACCTGGAGCCAAAGGAAAGGGCCGAAGAAATGAGAAGTACGATATGGTGACAGGTAAGTGATCTCACAGGGTCCAAACCATGTCAGAACCCCCCTTTTCCTGCTTTCCTTCTTGTCCCAAGCCACCATAGCTCTATCTTTCAGAATATGTTTTGAGGAAATCTCTAATGACAAATCCATTGAGAATTTCTAGAGACCCGTCCCTTATTGGTACCCCATCTTTCAATCCTCCATGAGTGGACACATGCACAGAAAAATGTCTGTTCTCCAGATGGCCCACCCTGGGAGAAGTTCCTGAAGTACATATCTAACTCTTGGCCTCTATTTCCTTTTCCTGTGCTTCTCTTCCCCACCAGACTGTAGCTACACAATCTCTCAGGTGAGGTCAATGAAGATCCTGAAGCGATTTGGTGGCTCAGCTGGCCTGTGGACCAAGGATCCACTGGGGCCAGCAGAGAAGATCTATGTGCTAGATGGCACACAGAACGACACAGCTTTTGTCTTCCCAAGGCTGCGTGACTTCACCCTTGCCATGGCTGCCCGGAAAGCTTCCCGAATACGGGTGCCCTTCCCCTGGGTAGGCACAGGGCAGCTGGTGTATGGTGGCTTCCTTTATTATGCTCGAAGGCCTCCTGGAGGACCTGGAGCGGGTGGTGAATTGGAGAATACTCTGCAGCTGATCAAATTTCACTTGGCAAACCGAACAGTGGTGGACAGCTCAGTGTTCCCTGCAGAGAGACTGATACCCCCCTACGGGCTGACAGTAGACACATATATTGACCTGGCAGCTGATGAGGAGGGCCTCTGGGCTGTCTATGCCACTCAGGAAGATGACAGGCATTTGTGTCTAGCCAAGTTAGACCCACAGACACTTGACACAGAGCAGCAGTGGGACACACCATGTCCCAGAGAGAATGCAGAGGCTGCATTTGTCATCTGTGGGACCCTGTACGTTGTCTATAACACCCGCCCTGCCAGCAGGGCTCGTATCCAGTGTTCGTTTGATGCCAGTGGTACTCTTGCCCCTGAAAGGGCGGCACTCTCCTATTTTCCACGCCGATATGGTGCCCATGCCAGCCTTCGATATAACCCCCGTGAGCGCCAGCTGTATGCCTGGGATGATGGCTACCAGATTGTCTACAAGCTGGAGATGAAGAAGAAGGAGGAGGAAGTTTAAGCAGCTAGCCTTGTGCTTTTGATTCTTATGCCCAGACATTGATATTCCTATGAGATCTCCTGCAGTTCGTTCTTCGAAATGGAGCCAGTGATGGTGACTCACATACCTAACTTTTAAACAATAACCAAATTCTCATAGCCCCTCTGTTTTATGCAGATCTTGAGTAGATTTTTAGAACAGCAAACACCCTAAATCTTCACTCTTGCCCTGTGTCCACAAAGTTTAATTCCAAATTCAGTGCCCTGTTCTTTAGATAGGGTCTTGCCCTCCGTATGACCCAAGGGAGAGAACTCAAGAGACAACGCTGTCCTCCCTCCCTCCCCCCTCCAGTGTAGGGGAGAATGGGTCTTTCCCCAAACCACTTTGTATGGCAACATTATGCATTAAAAGGAAAACCCACCATTCCTCTCTCATGTGTTTGGGTAGCCCTCGGATCAGAGTTCTCATGGCTCTGCTTTCTTCCTCCTGCCCCAGTCTCTGCTCCTTAACCACGTTAGGGCTTGGCTGGCCTCCTTTGGCTCCCTTGGGAACTTCTTCAGTTACACATTTTACTGTGGGGCACTGTAGGGGGTTGGACAAAAGGCCTCCCCCTCCACGCCCACTGCGCTCTACAGCAGCCGCTGCCAAGAACCAGCAGCAGCGCACAGCCTCTGACTGCTGGACACTGGAGCTGAGAGCCAGGGCTTCTCATTCCAGCTCTTGGTGGACTTTGAACCAGAAAGTGGATCTTACTGGCTTTGAAGTCTAGTGTAGAAACCAGCGCACAGTATACATGTGTGTCTAGTCTCACCTCTGAAATGGATTCTGTCTCTGAGCCCAAGTCCCCACTCCCACCTCCAGCACTGGTTCTTCCTGGGTCTGGATTGCACAATCCTTGGTCTGAGCCACTCCGATTTTCCTGCTGCCACAGCGTCTGCGGTTTGGGCAGGGAGGAGGGGCAGTGACCATCCCAGATGTTGGTCTCACCAGCTCCCCAACACATCCCTACTTTCCTTCTTTCCATCCTCAGCTGCCCACCCTCCTACCTGGAAGCTGGAGTCCTGGAAACTTAAACCCTGCTGGTCTAATACTCTAGCCATGTGCACCAGACTGCAGGGGGCAAACCAGGAAGGATTGGAGGAGCAATAGGCTTTGGATTCCATCTCTGGGAACCTGCTGGTCTCTGCATGATGTCCCTTCCCAGGCCTCATCTCCATGTTTAACTCACAGGCACATAAGGCTGGCTGATGGATAAAAAGCCCTGGCTTCAGTGGGGGAGTTTACCTTGGGCAGCCCTCTGGATTATCACCCAGGGAGGAAGGGGGACAGGAACACAACCTTCTCTCTCAAGTAGAGCCCTCCCTCCCTCCACCCCAGGATGGGGTGGATCAGTCAGCACTCCTCCTTTTGTCTGTCTTTCTTCTCTCCACAGGCAGAGCTGCTCCTGACGTAGGTTGGTGAGGAAGAGGAAAGAAAGGCAGCAAAGCACCTCACAAAGGCGCTATTGTAGGGAGCCTGAGGCGGATGGGGGCCTCTCCCATTCAATTCTCTCCTAATGTGGGGCTGGCAACAGTAATCACTGCCTGTCAGCCCATAGAGGGGTCTGCCCACGGAACATCTGGCTGCAATGCAGGGCATATAGGAGGGCTGTGGAGGAGGGAGTTCTCTGTGGAGGCCTTGAGAACAGGTCCAGGGGATGAAAAGGTGCAGTGCGGCGCTGTAGCACTGTGTGCACGCATAATGTGCATGTGCACATCTCTGCATGGCTAAGAGTCTGAGCACCTGTGTGAGACTGGGCTACCCTGTGAGACTGCATGTAAACAAATGAGTGGCTCTATTAGGCTGTGTGCATGCCACTATATGGGATTATATGTATGAGAAAGACCAAGGAGGGCCCTGTCTGGAACTCTGTGTGTGTTGTGTGACTGTATGCAACCGCATGTATATGATCGCATGGCAGTAGCACCTGTCTCCTTCCCAGTGTGGCTGTGTGCCAAGAGGGTGGGACTGGGTCTGTGGCGTTTTGTTGATATAGGAGTAGCTTTTTGGTGCCCTTAATGAGGCTAGCTCAGGTGGTGTATATACACAATATCAGTGTAGGAAGAAGTGTGTGGATTGTATCTTTAATAAGTGGGTGCATTTTCTACAGCCTGGGTCCTTCAAACAGATATGTGCTTGTGACATCTTTGTTTGCCAGAATCCTTAATGGGAAAGGAAAAAAAGCAACTGGCTTTTATTTTTTTTTGTTTGTTTGTTTTTGGTTTGAAAATTTCCTTGGAAAGGCTTGCATAGACTTATGTGAAAGGGCAGAGACTTGGTCTTCCCCCCCCCCCCATTTTGGCTCTTGCACAGTGGCTGGGGGCTATTTTGGAATTATTTCAGAAGCTGAGAGGTACTGTGTGGGTAGATCTCGTGAACTGTCCAAATTCATTAAATGAAATTATCTGCTGCTCAAGGAGACAGTCTTGGCAGCTGAATCCCATCAAACAACAGCCTTTCCTACCACCACCCCCACCCCCACCCCTCCTGGGCCTCCCCTTAGCTGAAACAAGCTGTGGCCTCTAGTTGGCTAAAAGAACATGGGAGACCAAGACCCTACTGGAGAAGAGTGAGTTTGAAAGCCCACAGAGAAGTTCCACATTTTCCCCAATTCCAGGCCAGAGGACACCCACCATTAAACACTAAGAAGGGTCATGACTCTGGAGACACTGTCCTTTTGATGACTGGTCCAGCTGTGTTCTGCCATCAGGAGTCAGGGGTCGGGAGGACCTTCTCATCCCACTCCAGGCCCCCAAACTTTCTGCCTCACAGTTTAAAGTTCTTCTTTTCATTTTAATGTGCTTGCCTCTTTGGTGCCTGCCAGAGAAAATGAAGTGCTTGTTCGTTCCAGTTAATAGAGGCCCATGAACCCCGGGTAGTGGGGAGGGCAGGGCAGAGACAGAGAGAGTGACATCAAATCAGCTGTCACTGTTTCCTCTGTGATGCGTCTGAGCTAATCAGGAACCAGAGCCTTTTCCCTCGCTTTCTCCTTCAGCCTCAGATTTTCCAGGCCCCTTTCTTCCTGCCGTTGTCCAGGCGCCATTCTGAGGCTCCTGGGAGTGTCCCTTTCCACAGCTCCCTATTTGTCTAGCTGGCTTAGATCAGAATAGATCTTTCTGAGAGCTGCTGAGACTACCCTGGTGTTCCTCCTGGCCTTTCCATTGGGTCTCTAGGGCTTACTATTCAGCCTGTCTGGCTGCTTTACAGCATGCTCTCTGTAAGCCTGCCATTTCTTCAGCTGGAGGGCAAGACCTGTTTATCTAGGTGGAGTCTTCTTGGGTGCCAGCAGCCTGGGAGAGGATGCCACGTCCTCTGCTGCTTCTGCCACCAAGGCTGGTAAGCTCTCTCCCCCACACACACGTTCACTTTTCTCTTTAATTTGTTTTATGTGTATGGATGGTTTTGTCTAGCTGTATGCTGTGCAGGCCTGGAGCCCACAAAGTCCAGAAGAGGGAGTTGGACCCCAGGAACTGCAGCTACAGATGGTTGTGAACATCATGTGGGTGCTGGGAATTGAATCCAGGTCCTCTCAAAGAGCAATCAATGTTCTAACTGCTGCAGCATCTCCCCCCTCTTCAAGGCCTAGAATCACAAGGCAGAGCTTCAGAGATTAAGTCTTTATTTATGGATTTAATAACTCCACAGAAGAATGAAACGTAGCTGCCAGTATATATCATCTAAAGGGCAGCAGAGGGAGAAAGGAACAAGGAAGCACTCCCAGCCCCAGCTCACCAGGACAACCAATGGCCACCCACCTCTGCAGAACAGTTCACAGGGCCTCTGGGGTCTACACCCTTGAGTATTTACCTCTCTGAGAATAGACTCCCCGACCACAGCTGTGGTCCTCAGGGAGGAACAAGTCAGATTCTCCTTTCCAGGCATTTTAGAAATGACGGATCAGAGAACTTAGATACAAGAAAGTATTTGGGCGCTCTTTCTCCCCAATTTTTTTTTTAAATGTCTTCTTTTTGGAGATGCTTTTGTCTGCTGTAGAGAGACAGTGAAAGGCAGACTGCAGGCCAACGTGGGTATTTGTAGAAAAGCAGGCAGGGAAGAGGGGCTGGCCCTGGCCACTGTTCACAGCTCGCCTATGGCCATCTCTCCTAGGGGGTGGGGGTGACAGCACATTCTACCTCATAGGCCCCACAACGTGTCTGAATCCTTACATACCTCCTTGTTTAGGTTTGCTGGCTTTGCTTAACCCAGAATGATCAGGTTTCTCTTTCCTACAACCCAGTGATTTATCTTCACCCTACCTCCCAACCATACCTTTGTTCCATGCTGAGCTACCAGGGAAGAGCTGCATCCCTGGAGGATAGTCTTGCTTGAGCACAACCCAGGAAACTTACTAGAGTAAGAAAAGCCTGTGGTGGGCATGTGGCTCTCCTTTCGGAGTCTCACTCAAGCTGTGCCTCCTCCACAGTGCCTTCTGTGCGGCCAAGACACTTATTCTCCTGCTCTATTCACTCATGGCTGTTACAGCTTGGATCTTTAAATTTTGTTTTGTTTTGTGTGTATGAGTGTTTAGATTGCGTGTTTGCCTGTGCACCACTTGTATGCCTGCTGACCTTTTGACACCAGAAGAGGGTGTTGTATCCCCTAGAATTAAAGTTACAGAAGGTTGTGAGCCACCATGTGGGTGCTGGGAAGTAGACACCAGATCTCTGGAAGAGCAACCACTGAGCCATCTCTCTAGTCCATGTAGTTTGCATCTTGAATGGCCCTGCAAAGTAGTGAAGGCTTGGTCCCCAGATGATACTAGGAAGGCTTTGAGACCTTCCTAGTTCAAGGAGGTGAGTCTGGTGTTAGCCTGTGGAGAGAGAATCGGGCTCCTAGCCCCCTCCGCTGCCTTCTCTGCCATTGTAGAGAGCACCTTTGCTCCATCACATGCCCCATGTGATGCCTAATGCAGCCAGGCTAGTTTACCCTGGACTGAAACCTCAGGAATTTGGTCAAAGTGACAAAACCTAATATAATGACCTTGTCTTTTCATCCCATTGTAGCTGGAGTTTATTGTATTCAGAGGCAACATACATATTATAAAGTCTTTGAAGTCAGAGAACCTTGACGAGAGTTTCAGGTCAGAATCTGCCCTCTGATACAAGTTATTTAAATCAGTAAAATAATATCCACTCAGTAGGGTTCTTACTGTGGGATACAGACAACATATGCAAACTCAGTAATGGTGCAGATGGTGTGGTGGTTCTCAGTTATCCCTCCCCTGGGTGGTTTTTCTGATCGTTTACACTCTCAGTCACACAGGGTCAGGTGCCTCTGCGGTGAGTACCTATTCACTCTGGAGCCTGACATCACTGTCATTTGGCCATCTTTGTGTCCTCAGAGCCTACTGCAGAACCCAGAGAATAGAATCAGTAAGTCCTTAC